ACAAAATTCCTTGCTGTCAGAATCCCAGTGAATATCTCTAATTATATTCATCTCCAGGTCTGCATCTAATTTTTGTTAACGAAATCAAAAATATACTATTTTTAATTTGATCCTTTCCATTTTTAGTCGATTTTAACTAGCTAACCAATGGTGAAAACCAACCGGTGACAACCAACAGGGTAAAAAACGTTCTTTCTTTTGCCAACGTGGCAACCAGCTATCCCATTTTTACTCGCGACAAAAAAAAAACGACTTTTCAATTTTTTTTAAATCAGCTGTAAATTCATGTGTGATTTTTCCTTGCCAAAATAAAAGACAATTTAAGAGGGTTTTTTTATTCACAGAGTAAAAAATGAAAACAAAAACTATGTAATCGCACAGATTTGCTCATTTTCACTCGGGAGCCAAACTTGCTAGCGCACAGGATTACTCGAAGAGTGGCAGTTTTTAGTGGACTCTACTATTCACTCACTTGTTTGGTGTGAGAGCACTCCCGAGTTATTCCTGTTTGAAAAGTTATAGTGGGAGCAGAATCACTCAAGTTTTTTTTCTAAGATATTAGAATTTGCTCGATTTTGAACAAATTTTACTCCCACTCGAAATAGAGGAAAATATGGTTACTCAAATTTGAGGGATATAAAAGAATTGAGTCTGCTCAATTTTTTCTGATCCCAGGAGCGCACTCGCTCGAATTCGTGTGAGTTTATCTCTTTGTACAAATTCTAGAGAGTTTTTCGAAGGTCTGATTTTGGCTCGCATAAAAAAGAAAAAAATCCACAATTTGTGATATAAAATTTGATGGATTACAAATGGTGTGTTCCAGAAGCAGCACGAATCTGCTAGTTTCGCATTTTTTTCAGATATCATAGGGAAAATCGGTTATCGTCGAAAAACGTGTATTTTTGCAGTTCTGGAGCAGACCAAAAGAGACTAGCAAAAAGCGACTTCAGGAACTATTGATTGAAAAATCTAAAATAGGGGTTGACTTTTGTCTGTGACAGGTTTATTTGCATTCGAGCCTAAAAATATGCAACGATTAACGTGTATTTTTTTGATTTTCTTTTCTTATAAAAAATCGATATTTTTATCTGTTGCCAAAAATACACGTCAAATCAGAAATCAACTTTGGATTGAAAAATCGAAATCGATTTGGAGTTCATCCAAAAGTCGGCCAAATGTTTAAAGTTTTTAAATTTGACTTTCTTTAACTACTTTTCCCTATAATCGATCAAAAGTCGAACAACATGTCACTATGCCAAAAACAACGTTTCCCATGTTATCGAAAATTCAGGAATAACACAATTTTTATGTAAATAATATATAATAGGTTTCGATAATTACCGATATATTTGAAAATGGTCGCATATTAGTGATTTTACAGAATTTGGGTATAAATAAAAACTCACAAGTACCAAAATTTGATAAAAAATCACAAGTACCAAACTTCAATAATTATCGATATATTTATTTATTTATATACTATGTTTTCGATAAACTATTTTTTCTTATCTTTTGTGAATAATTACAAAATTATTTTGATTCTGTTATTTCGATAAATTTTAAATTCAGCAATTTTCCGTTATTTTCGATGAACTTCATATTTAAACTTCCAAAATAGTAAAGCAAATTAACGTTTGCATAAAACAAAAATATTCTATGAAATTGAATAAAAAGGAAATTTTTCTGTATACTTAAAACAAAATGTCCAAATTTTTTAATAAATTTTAAAATTTTCGATTTTTCGCAATTGTCCTTTATAAATATAATAAACGTTTTTTTTTAACAAAACGAAAATGTTCGATATTTCTTTACAAATTGTGCTTATAAAAAGTACCACAATGTACCCATGTACAGTGAAACAAAAATTCGATAATTTTCGATAAATATTAAAATTGTTTTTTTTTTTAAGTGTCAATAACTATATATATAAATAAGTATTAAAATTCCTTTTAAAAAATCAAACAAAATATCGATAATATAGTTTTTAAATGTCGATAACATTTGTTAAATTTTAAAATTATCGATTTTTGCAGTTTTCTATAATTTTTTGATTAACCTTAACTATGGTCGTTTATAAATAAAACAGCAACAAAATTCGATAATTTTCGATAAATTTGATGCATTTTTTTGTAATTTTATATAAACATCATTTATGACATTTAACAAAAATTACAAGCTTTGTTTCTTTATATATTCCCATACAGAAACTATTTCAATAATTATTGAAATGACAGTATTTCCCAAGTTTACAACTCCATGGCGGACATAACCCCTTATTTTTCTATTGATTGCCAGCCAGCATTAGTTGGTGCAACCAATGTGTGGTGTTTAATTGTAAAAGAAAACCTCTTTCAGTGCCTCCAAATGGTGTTAACACTTGTTGGTTGTTTGTTAGGCTAGGCAATTATATTCGGATCATATTACCTCCACACACACACACGCACTCACTCACTCAATCACACAAATCTGGCCACAATACCCAGCAGTGGCTGGATGGCTGACGGGCCGGCTGGTTGGTTGTACTATCAGCAATAACCACCAGCCTCCGCCCGTTGGCTCACTCTCTCGTTCTTTCGTTCATTCATTCAATGCTGTCCATAAGCTATTATTTATGCGGCTAGAAAAGCTATTGGGTATTTGAAATCGTACTGTATTGGATTTCTGGTGAACGGAACAAGTGAATGAGTGACAACTCTCCCTATACCACAATTTACACTTGATAAACATGTAATCGAGTAAATCACGTTTCATTCATAAAACAAAAAGTGGAAAAAAGAAGGAACGCAAACGAAAAAAGAAATTGACTGCATGGAAAAAGAGATTATTTCAAATGGTCTTTGTGGCTTACATTTGCTGCAAGCAAGTGTGGCTAATGGGGAAATAAAAAAAAGCTAAAGATTTTCAAAAAAAAAAAACAAAGAAAAAACAAAATCATATATTTTTTAATGCCCTATTTAACCGAGAACAATGAACATGAAATTTCCTGGTACTCCGTTTTTTTATACCCTCCACCATGGGTAGGAGGGTATATTAACTTTGTCATTCCGTTTGTAACACCTCTAAATATTCGTCGTAGACCCCATAAAGTATATATATTCATAATCAGCATAAAATTCTAAGACGATTTAGCGATGTCCGTCTGTCTGTCTGTCTGTTGAAATCACGATAGAGCCCACATTATTTGACGTAGACCTTTGAAATTTGGCACAAGTGTGTGTATTGTCCCTAGGATGGTTGGTATTGAAAATGAGATATATCGGTCCACGTTCTGGTATAGTCCCCATATAACGGTACCTCCCGATATTCGGTATTTTGATGATTTATGCCACATTTTTTCACGGATTTATCTGAAAATTGGTATTTGTAGGTCATGACGGGTCCCTGAGCGTGTGGCAAAACATTGCATGTATAGGTCCACGTTTTGGTATAGCCCCCATATAACGGTACCTACCGATATTCGGTATTTTGATGATTTATGCCACATTTTTCACGGATTTGTCTGAAAATTGGTATTTGTAGGTCACAACGGGTCCCTGAGCGTGTGGCAAAACATTGCATGTATAGGTCCACGTTCTGGTATAGTCCCCATATAACGGTACCTCCCGATATTCGGTATTTTGATGATTTATGCCACATTTTTTCACTGATTTGTGTAAAAGTTGGTATTTGTGGGTCATAATGGGTCCTAGTTCGTGTGGCGAAACATTGTAATTATAGGTGCACGTGTTGGTGTAGCCCCTATATAACGGTACCTCCCGATATTCGGCATTTTAATGTTTTTTGCCACATTTCTTCTAATGTTCTTTTACCCTAGGGTGGAGGGTATTAAAAGTTTGGCCCGGCCGAACTTAATGTTTTTTTTACTTGTTTTTTTTTGAGTTTGTGTTTTGAAATTTTTCCCCCTTCACATTTTGCAGAGATGACCATTTGAAAGTTTGCAAATTGGCAACATATGGCCAACCGTTGTTGTTGTTGTAATGCAAAGATGTGGTGCTCAGTAGCTTACTGGCTTGCGGAGCCTCTTCAATCAATGTCACATCACGTTGACACATCAAGTGTTTAGATTTTAATCGAAATGTCTAAACTAAGGGCAATTTCTTTCAATCACTTTCACTGTGTATCTCACAATGATTAACGATCTCTATCTGTTTTTCCTTTCAGGAGGGGGGCTTCCTTTGGGAAATCCTTGAAAAACAAAATAAGAGATAAAGGTTCAAATAAATTGTAATGGTTAAAAATTAATCATCAGTGTCGAAGTTTGAAAATTGTCAATTAATTTTCGTTGATGGAATAATTTTGGGAAAATAAGCAGTTGAATTATTATTTTTGAACTATTGAACTAATTCTTAAGCTACACAACAAAATCGCAAGAAATCGAAATTCCAACAATTTTGATTTCATCGAAATTAGGTCATTTCATGTTCATTCATAAACCATGAATATTCCATTTTCCGCATTCGGGCTAGCTTTTAGCTTTCATTCAACACACATTCAATTTTTCCGGCGAGAACGAGAAAAACAACGACAACGTAGCAGCAAAAAAACTGCAAGCAAACCGAAAACATTAACAATATCCGCAATTCTCGGAACTAGAAACAATGGTTTTGGGCTGCGGTGGCATCAAGTCTACAGATGCTCCATTCTGTGCGGTTTTACTCATGCCGATGCTTTGCAGTCAATAAATTCCAACAAATACTGTTGTTGCTGTTCTTGTTGTTTTGGTTCTGTTCAATGAACAAATTGCAAAAAAAAACTGCATATTCAGAGCGTACCACAGAAAACATACGGACATACACCACTTTGGCCATAGATTTTCCAGGAAAACATTCCATTTTGAATAATTTCCTTCTTTGTTTTTTTTTTCTTGAGTTTTTATTCTTTATTTTCATTTTATTTTCTCTCTATTTTTTCATTAGCTTTTCTATGGAAAAAAGATATTAATCATAATTTTCTCTTCCCCCCTCTCTCTTTAGAAAATCAATGCCCTCAATATGGTGAAGTCAACCAATTGGGCGGTGTCTTTGTCAATGGACGACCCCTGCCGAATGCCACACGCATGCGCATTGTGGAGCTGGCCCGCCTAGGCATACGACCCTGTGATATTAGCCGCCAGCTGAGAGTCAGCCATGGTTGTGTTTCGAAAATCCTGGCCAGATACCATGAGACGGGCTCCATACTGCCGGGTGCAATTGGTGGCTCTAAGCCGCGTGTTACCACACCCAAGGTTGTCAATCACATACGCGAGTTGAAACAACGTGATCCTGGCATTTTCGCCTGGGAGATCAGAGATCGTTTGCTGAGCGAGGGTATCTGCGACAAGACAAATGTGCCCAGTGTTAGTTCAATATCGCGCATACTACGCAACAAATTGAATCCAATCAGTCATCATCCGCCGACACCGGCCCCCGTGGCCACACCAGCACCGCCACCCAGTACATCGCCTCAGCACACCCATAGCCAGCAGCAGCAGCAGCAACAACAGCAGCAACAGCAACAACAACAGCAGCAGCAACATGCTCACTCATTGGCCGCTGCTCAGGCTCAAGCTCAGGCCCATGCTGCCCACAGCGCCCATGCCCACACACCCACCCATGGCTCACACAATCATCACGGACACGGCCACATGCACCACACACCGCCCCACTCGGTGGTGACATCAGTAGCAGCCTCAGTCACAGCCCATCCCCATGCTCATCAGGCGGCCGCCGCGGCAGCCTCGGTTGCTGCCCATGCCCACCATCCCCATTTGTATTACCAGCCCTACAATGCGTACAGCATGAAGTCGACAGTATCATGCGGCACGCCCTCTCCGCCCCAGACAGGCTCACCCCATCAGGTCCATTCGGCGGCAGCAGCAGCTGCCGTGGCCCATGGCTGGCCATCACCGCACACCGTTACCGATATCTTGGCCCATCATCAGGCGGTAGCCCTACGTGCCAGCTGTCAGGTCGGAAATCCGGTAAATAGTGGTCTCACCGCCAGTCTGCCCATGACACCATCGCCGGTAGGTGGTTCAGCGGTAAGTGGACATCAACAGCTCTTGGATTGTGAGAGTGCTTCGAATACCACCAGCGCTTTGGCTCAACATCAGGTGGCTGCCACCCAAGTGGCAGTGGCCGCGGCCGCCGCCTCGCAGCAGCCCTATGCCAATTACTATATGTACTTCCAGAATGGTGGCATGCATCATCCCGGTGGCATGATGACAACTGGTACCACAAGTTTATGAGAATTATGAAAAAAGATTTTGGCAAAACAATTATTGGATTTGCTTGTAAATGATACTCCTTCAGCAACAGCAGCAGCAGCAGTAGCAGCAACAACCACAACTTGAAACATAGAAACAACACGAGATTATAAACGGAATAAGATGCAACTTTCAACAAAACAGAAGAGCCCCCAGGAAAAGGAAGAGAAGAGCTAAGGTGAGCAGGAGAGAAGAAGGCCGTTGAATAGATTGCAGAATCCAGTGGTCCATATCAAAGAAAACGAAACCAAAATTTTGCTCAATTCATAATCCAACAATCTTCCCCTAGCCACAACTCCCACAATCATCGATCCTTTTATTCCTTTGGCCTCCCTCTGTAATCGAAAAAGATTCCCCGACTCCAAAATTGTATACTCTCCTCCCACCACCACAGAACCATAACCAGAGAAAAATCGTTGAGCATCGATTCGATTGATCTTTTCTTGTCAAACAGAAACAGCAGCAACAAACTCAAATATACACACTCACACACCCACACACAGATTTGTCTAGATTTTTACGTTAAGCAATAAACGATCGCATATTTATTTTATACGATACCAATTTAAACTTTAAGTATTTTCAGATATTAGTCATTATTTTTATATACATATGTATGTAGCATATATATAAATATAGCAAGTATACTGATATATATACCACATAAGTAAAAAACTGCAGAAGAATTCGTTGGATTCAAGTTTGGGTGGGGGAGTGAAACAACAGGATCCTCCTTTCCGCTCAACTTGAATCGAGTGAAGTAAACAAAGAAACAAACGATAGATTCCAGTTTGCGACAGGCTAGCTGGAGTCATCGTCGAAATGATAACGGTTGGATGAATGAATCGATGATGAATGATCTTTGTATGTGTATAATGATGATCAATGTAAAATTTAAACTCAAAACAAACAAAAAAACAATATACGAAAAAAAATTAAACAAATTTGAATGACAAACAAAAAAAGGAAAACAATTCACAAAACAAAAACCAAGTAATGAAAAAGAAAATCACAAAACCGTAAACAACTAGTTTATTATAATTATTATTTAAAAAACAAAACGTAAAAAAATAAAACAGAAAAAAAAATGAATTACAAAACAAACCGAACAAAGCAAACAACAAACATGAAACATAAATTGAAATTATCTGTAAGAGAACAAGAATTTAGTGTAAAATATTTAAAACAAAAAAAAAATACTTATTTTATTTGGTTGTAGATTTTTGTTGTATTCTAAATAAAGATCATTTTTAATAATACAAAAAAAAACAAATACTCACAAAATTGTATTATTGTTTTGCCTAGTAAGAGAAAAGGTAAGCGTCGATCGTAAGCCGGTAATCAGTGATGGTGGTTTTGTAAATGTTAACTACAAGTGCCCGAAAAATACTAAACAGTATTTGGTACAATTTGCTATTGGGTGAAAAAATCTGAAATTTAGTATTAGGGTCGCGTGTACTCTGAAAATATGAAGGTGGTTTCGAAAATGGAAAAATATTGAATGGGTCTACAGGTTTAGATAAAACAAGTAAAAAAGCAGTAAGTTTGGCCGGGCCGAACTTTGAATACCCTCCACCATTCCGAACGAATTTGAAAATTTTCGAAATATATAACATTTGCCAAAAATTCTGTTAACATCTTAAAAATACAGAATATAACCGTTATATCAGGGCCTGTACGACGTGGACCTACATAGGCATTGTTCGTCATTAGCCATTACCATATTCAAATTCGAAACTTGAAATAAACGGTGAATAATGGAGCTAAAATCATTAAATTCCGTATATAGGGAGGTACCGTTATATCGTAGCTGTGCGAAGACCTGGACCAGCATAGACAATTTTCTATCATAGGCTGTGGCATCCATTACGAACTTCACATACGACATTACCAACAATTTCGGTGAGTATTGTACCTAAACTCGTCAGAATACCGAATATAGGGAGGTACTGGTATATGGGGCCTATACGAAGACCTGGACCTGCATAGACAATTTTCTGTCACAGACTGTAGTTTCCATTACGAACTTCAAATACTAAATTTTAAATAGTTCCAGTAAATAATGTCGCTAATATTATCAAAATACCCAATATCGTGAGGTACCGTTATATGGGGGCTACAAGAATACGTGGACCTGCACAGACAATTTTCTGTCATAGGCTGTAGTATCCATTACGAACTTCAAATAACAAATTTGAAACACTTCCGATTAATAATGTTGCTAATATTATCAAAATACCCAATTCGGGAGGTACCGTTATATGGATGGTATACAACCATGTGGACATGCACAGACAATTTCCTGTCATAGGTTGTAGTATCCATTACGAACTTCAAACACCTAATTTGAAACAATAATGGTGAATTATGTCGCTACAATCATCAAAATAACGCATATCGGAGGTACCGTTATATGGGGGCTACACAAAGACGCGGACCTGCACAGACAACTTTTTGTAATAGGCTGCAGTATCCATTACGAACTTCAAATACCAAATTTGAAACAATTCCGATTAATAATGTCGCTAAAATCATCAAAATATCGAATATCGGGAGGTACCGTTATATGGGGGCTATATGAAAACGTGGACCTACATGGCCCATTTACGAACTTAACCTGCCTACTGAAAAAATAAACATTCTATCTCAATTCGTTCGAAAAATAGCGTGATTACAGCAGACAGACACGAAGGTCCGTAGGCTTGAGTTAAAACTGGGTTTTTGGAAATTCGCACTAAACGGATACGTAAAGTACTAAAATGTACTAAAAATTAATTTTATTTTGGACAAATAATCTGAAATTTGGAATGATAGTCACAAATGGAGATAGATGTTACAATTCTAACTTTAAGGTTACGAAAAGGGTCTTAAATGGTACTAAACTTCTAAAAAGGAACTCTTTGGCTAAAAACTTGAAAATTGGTATGAGAATCAAGGTTGGATAGTAGATTTGATTTATGAAGGTGGTTTTGGAAATGTGTACTAAGTGTACGAACTGTACTAAATAGTACTAAATTTGAAACATTTTGAGTTTTGCCTTGTTAAGGCGAAGATCATATGTTTTATGATTTATTGTTTGTTTTCTCTTTCGAGACGAGCTTAATGATCTGAAATTTGCAGTGAAAAGGAAAGCCAGATAGACACTATCACACACTCACCACTATGCGACGCATTTCGCCGTTGGTTAAGCGGTTAAGCAATAAGTTCGAAATATATACTACTTTCCAGAGAACGGCCCTTGTAAGCCATCATCCACACCAAATATGCCTGATGAGCCGCTTAACCAACGGCGAAACGCGTCGCATAGTGGTGAGTGTGTGATAGTGTCTATCTGGCTTTCCTTTTCACTGCAAATTTCAGATCATTAAGCTCGTCTCGAAAGAGAAAACAAAAAATAAATTGAAACATTTTGTTTTAGGGTGAACGGATGAAGCTGGGATTGTGAAATTTCGTTCCATGTTGGTGGTAGGTGCACAAAGAGTACTATACTCGGTGCATTTTGGTATTGGGAGAACATGCAGTGCTTGAAATCTAAAATGTGGTATTAGAGTCGCTGTTCAAGTGAAGCCTGGACATATGGAAATATGTACTATAATTGTACGAAAAGTACTGAATGGTACTATATTTCGTATTGGGGGATAGTGATAAAATTCTGAAATTTGATATTTAGATTACTGATGGTATCTGTATTTGGTTGGTTTGGAAATGCGTCCTATATTTGTACTAATTGGTACTAAATTTGGTATTGTGTGGAGGGATAGGGCTGGAATTCTCAAATTTCATATTGAGGTCTCTGTTGGTATGTGGTGGTTTTAGAATGTGTACTATAATTGTGGGAAACGTACTAAATTTGGTATTGGGTGAAGGAATAGGAATTTGGTATATGGATGTCAGAAGAAGCTGGTTTTGAGAATTGTTCGAAATGTACTAAGTGGTAGTAAATTTGAAATTAGAGCAAGGGATGGAACTGGAATCCCTAAATTTGTAATTGAGGTCTCTGTTGGAATCTGGGATTGAGATATGAAGCTGGTTTTGAAAATATATATTATAGTTATACGAAAAGATCTAAAAGATACTATTGTGTGAAAGGATAGAGTTTGAAACCTGAAATCTGAAATGTATGTCACTGTTGGTGCCCATAGTTAGGAGAAATGCGTACTATGAACGTACGGAAAGTGCAAAATGCCACAAAATTAGCCGTTGGGTGTTGAGAAAGACATAGAATCTAAAATTTAGTATCAAGGTCACTGTTAATTTCTAGGGTGGAGAAGAAGAGGTGGTTTTGGACAAGGGTAGAATAACTGTACGTAAATTATGGTAATACATTTGGGATTGGGTCTTAGGATAGAGCTGGAATTCTGAAATTTCATAAGGTGGCCACTTTTGGTATATATGTTTGGGAGAACGAGGTGCTTTTGGGAATGTGTACTATAATTGTCCGAAAAGTACTAAGTTGTACTCACTTTGCCGTTGAGTGAATGGACTGAAATTTGATATTGAGATCACTTTTGATTTCTACGATTTAGATATTGTGTTTTTTTATTTCGAAAAGACGTTTAAATAGTTTTGGCCAGTTAATCTGGACGTGATTAATTGTACACGGGTTTAACTAATATGCTCTTGGGTAAACTTCAAAACGAAAAATTAAAAAAACCTCATAATGGAAAAAGTAATCATTTTTCGATTATTCTTTTCAAAAAAAAAAAAAACTTGAATATGAATAAAGTGAATATAAAAAGTTAGTACAATGTATGAGATTTTATTTAGAAATTTTGTCCAAAAAATAATATGCACTTTGAGTGTTTAAATGAAGTGATGGAACTAATCTAAAATTTTAAGTTGGACTTTTTGCTAATTTGACACTTGGGCACTGCTAGTTCGGTATATTTATAATGATCACTTTTGCTACCTTTTGGGGAATTTATAAAAAGTTCGGGTCAAAAAAATCAATAATTTTTAACTCGCGAATTGTTTTAAATAATGACATACGTATTTACTTTTTGAATAAGTATTTTTTTAAATGATACCTACACGGTGAGATATAAAAACTGCAACCAACTTCAGACTGCTGTCATTTCTAAATCAATCTTCCGACAGCTGTTACAATTATTGCAGTGACAACTCATTATATTGTTTACAAGTGCAAGAACTTACACCGAATATCAGAACTCAAGCGCCGGCCATTGTGATGGTGTGGGCCGCCATAACAGCCGATGGTCGCTCTCCGCTCGTATTAATCGACCGTGACATTAGAATAAATGCCCAATATTATATTCCAGCTCCGAAATATTCATTTCCAGCGCACAATGGCCACCAGAATCTCCGGATGCCAATCCGTTGGACCATTGTGTCTGGAGTATTTTGGAAAGCAAGGTTGGCACTAACAATACCAAAGTGTCGATCATATCATGCAAGCGCTTCGCCGGGAATGGGCCAAAATACCGTAGAGCAATATTCGGGTTTCAGAGCAACATGACTTGGCCTTGGTCGTTTGAAGGCCATAATTATAATTCGCGCCAAAGGTGAACAATTCGAACAAATCTAAACTTATTCTAAATTTTGATGCTATTTCCGAGATTTTTTGCTTTCATTTAATAAAATTTAAAAACTTATAAAAATTATGGCGTTTGACTTTGTTGAGTTTTTTTTATCTCACCCTTTATGTATTTTTTTGGGGCCTTTATCTTTAATACTTTGATAAAGGCCATATTCGTTTGAGTCTGATTTTCCCTAACTGCATGATATCGTTGTCATAGATTTTCTAAAAAATTACTCCTTCTCGAACCTTTGTGACATAGTGTTAAAAATTCTCCAGATCCACCAGGCACACAAGCATAAGGCTATATCTCAACCAAAATAAGACTTAGTTTCAAATTGGACTAAACAACATAATACAGAGGTTAAATACATTTTGTCATTTTCTTTGAGGTTACTCGAAAAAATTGCAGGAGACCTTAAACAATTATTCTATAAAAGAACAGTGTGAATATTTATCGAAAAATTTGTATTTCGTGACGAAATTTTCCTCGCCAATATGGTACTCAATACATTATATTTCGACCCTCGTTTATATTTAATCGTGAGATAATGGTAAATTTTTCAGCCTCATATCCCACAGGTTTAGCCCAGTTGCTCAATGGACAATTCAACGGTGCCACATTATTTTTTCCAACATTTTCCAGTCGAAAAAATTCTAATATGAATAGACTGTTTTTATACCTTCCCCCATACAAAGTATGGCGGGTATATTAAGTTCGTCATTT